ATTTTGTTACGGAAGAGGCCAGGGCTTGCAAGGCTCTAGCTACACATATGCGTTGCGGTAAATGCTCGCCCAGTATGGCCGGCACCACTACATAATTTGTGAGTTTAGATTAAAAAAATGACTGCGGACAAGGAAACACTGCGGGACGCTTTCGTGACCATCGATGAACTAAGGAATGAATTGGCTCGCGCTGCCAATGAACTCAGTTGTGTGAAGGAGGCGAAAGCTTTACTTGAAACACAACTCGATCAGAACTGTATCAAGTTGGGCGATAATTCTGAGCTAATTCGACGCATCAATGAAAAACGTTCGTCGCTGGGAGCTAAAATTGCCAAGCTGGACACAACCTTCGAAAAGCTTGCGAAGAAGGAATCAGCATGTACAACTGCAAAGAGCACAGTTGAAAAGTTTGCGAAGAAGGAATCAGCATGTACAAATGAAAAGAGCACAGCCTACAAACAGAAGTTAGTGGATCTGCTGAAGAAATTTATGTGCGCAGCGAAAAAGGCTATTGCATCGGGGAAGTGGGAGGAGGTCGATGTGGATTGCATCACCAGAAACTTCGAAGTGATTTTTGGTGAACTGTTTGACGACGAACTCAACTACGACTGGCTTTTCGTGCAAATCAATGGGCGTAGAAAGGCGAACGAGCGACAGCTCACTCAGGTATCTTTTGGGAGATCTCTTGCAAAGTATGTTACATTTCTTTTTCATCTCTGAAGTATTAAGTAAAATCAACTATCCGGCGACATAAACTCCGGACACTATCCGGCATTCCGCGTGCCACGGGAACGAATGATCCCTCCATGACTCGTTCGTTCTTTTTCATCGCAAATCGGTATTGCCACCAACCAATATGTTAGAATCGCTAAGCATACCTTGCAGCAGGGATCTAACGGCACCTTTTCCGGTGGTAGATGCTTTTGATGGGAGCTGGGAGCTACCACTTGGCTACCACTCGGGAAGGGATTCCGACTTTTGGCAACTTAGCAGTCTCAGCGATGTAAAATAAACAAGGGAAGCCGGGAACTAATAACTTTCTTCGATTTCCCGTCTTTATATGATTTTGAATTTTTGGCGTGCAATACTCTTTAGCGTTATGCTACGCAGCTACAAGGGACTTTCGATCTTTTAGTTCCGGGCGTTTTAGGTGGAGTTTCGGCCAAAAAGTAAGTCCATCGGGCTTCAGTGTTCACTTCTTTCACCGACCTTTGGATTTTTTGAATTTGCTAAGAATTTCAAAAGTTCAGGCGAAAAAGAAACTGAATGATGCGTTATGCGAGAAGGAGGAATGCGCGGCACTGTTTTTCGAAGAACGAAATAAGTTTCACGAGTTAAAAGAAAATCTAGATGCTCAGTTTTCTGCGGAAGCGAATTTCTTACAAGAATCGTCTGAGGTTCGCTTTCCATTAGATAATTAACGCAGCTTAAGCGCTTTCGTGTTGTGAAACTTATACCAGTGTTTTCAGGATACCAAACGAGATGTTGAACAGACGCAGTGTGACGGCAAAATTGCTATAAGTGCAGCAAAAAATGCCACGAAGGTTTTTTTCGTTTGGTTTAGGATGAACTGCTCAATGTTTCACTCATGAAGCAGCGGCCTAGAGCTCATTTTATAGTACCACAGATAGCCTCCCTAAATCCAAGTGCTATTATTCTAGGGTTATCTGAACGCGCTGATGACACGCCTCAACGACCTGGAAACGAAGCTTGGATCTGAGCACATGCAGATGGATAAAGAAATGGATAAAGTAAATGACGCAATCAATAAAGGGATAGAGAGACTGACGGGCGCGAAAGAAATGATCGTTGCTGGGACAACTGGGTTTAACGACGCGATCAGCCATGTGATGGACACCAAGCACTTGTGGGAGAATCCCAAACAAAAGCATCAGGTACGTGTCACACCAATAAATGTCCAATGGCAGCATGAAGCGATGAGATGAGCGCACCAAGTGAAGGTTCGTTGCAGTTCACTGAACAGCAGCTGGTAATGATGAGGCAGGAGAACGACAGACTAAAAAAGACAAGCGAAGCTGCGCAAGAGCAAGTGCAAAGGATGCGTGACGAAGCATTAAGACTGAAGCAACAAATTGCCCAGCTTGAGGTCAAAAGTATTCAGTGTCGCAGATTAATCATTTAGCGTAAATTATTTTTTGAGCTATTTTGAGGATGCGATGTGAAAGTAAATTTAAGCGGAGGCAGTTAATTACACACCCCTCGCGGTGCTGCAACAGCATTCTTTATTTGCTTCCCAGAGTGTATTTTGTGGCTTTGAACAGCGAATGAAAAACAGAAATTCAGGAATTCCTTTCCTGTTCCTTCAGCTTTCAGTTTTTATTCAATATCAAATTTCACTTTGTTCCTTTTACTCAAAGTAAAGTTTTAACAACTTGAACGATTTCCCGCCCTTTCCCGTTTAAAAATAAATCTGTCAAAAACTGTATACTCGCGCAAATATTTGTAAATTCTTCATATGAAAAAATGAAATGAAAAAAATACTAAAATAAAACAAAGTTGCGAAACTTTTTTAAACTGGATGTTTTTAAGGCCAATCAGGGAATGCCTGCAAAACATCCCGCACTACTCATACGAGATCCGAAGAATCTGTCGGGAACAGAGCAGAACAACCAGCAGTGTAGCATTTCGTGATTAACGGACTTCTATTGGACACTGATCTCTAGATGAATTTTAAAGTTTCTATTTTTGTGCTTCTGCCCTTTATCAAATTGCTTTGATAACTTTCCGAATTTCTTGGCTTTTCACTTTGCTGCCCATGCTGGCAAACAAATGAGACTGTAGGACTGGGATACATGTCTGAGCAAGCAAAAACAGTCACTCCACGTGTGGTGCACAGTGCTCAACCAGCGAAGCTACCAAAATGTGCGGCACTTACAGCTAGCTGCTCAAGCTTTACAAAACAGTTTCCATTTCAGCTCTACTTCGGGAATTTTTTTGAACTTTGTCGGCCTTCTACAGTATGCACTCGATTCTCAGATGCTAGCGCGGACCCGGATGCTGTTAGTGTGCCCCTGTTTCTGTTCTTTGCTGTTTCCCTCTGTTTTACCGTGATTTCTCTTATTTTGCGATTTTATCCTATGCATTTTAGTAAAAAATGGTTTCATTCGGTAATGTCTTTCTGACACTGCACATTACAGGCTGAATGAGGAAGGTTTTCCTTTGCATTTCTCGGCTGTCGCGAGCAGTGAGAGTTGCTCCCTAGATGCTTTCGACTGGGGCCAAGTGTGACCAGCTGTCTTAAGATCCTTGTAAAATTACGACTCTTCGTGGGGCATCAAAGGCTTATGGAAGTGGAGCAGTTCATGCAGCAGTTCATGATATTGTTGTGGCTCACAAGCCTGCATGTGGGAACCGACTATGTGGGAACCGCGCCTGTATGTGGGAACCAGGCATACCCGAGGGCTGAGTTTGAACTCATTAAGACATACGTGGACGAGGGACATCCCCTTAAAATTTCAGCATTCCACCTTCTCTGGTCCACGAGTTAGCGACCTACTCGCCAAAAGGTTTGGCGGGCATTTGCGGGGAAACCACGTGGGTAAGAGCGCCCATTTTGGGGACTGAGGCCCGAACATGCATATAAATTAGATTTCCAAATAAATGTATGAGTATTTGTGGTGCTATCAGTGAAAACTTTTATAAAGCGATGATCTGTCTGTGAAAATGTGTAATGAACGCGATACTGCCTACGCCTGTGATGTGTTTGGTAAAAAGTTTAGTGATGTTTAGTGATGCTGTGTGAAAAAAGTTTAGTGATGCTGTGTGAAAATTTAGTGAAATGAGACAGTGTCTGTAAGTCTTTTGAAAAATAATGATGTGCTGGTTAAGCTTCGAAGGTAATATGCGCAGTGGCGGCGTGTGTGCTGTGATGCAGTTCATTTATGCAGTTCATTCATGCAGTTCATGATGCAGTTCATTTATGAAATGAGATGAGTTCATGAATTTTTAAGGTCGTTAATTAGAGCCGACGTTTAGGGAATAAAGGTAAACCCAGGCTGGAACGCAGTAGGCGAGCCGGTGCGGTCATACGTTTTTGCACCAAACTTGAAGTAATTAGGCTGGATAAGCGGTTGTTCCTTCATACCTACCTTGTGCGCTCAGTACCGTAAATCATTGTAAATTTCGCATAAAAGAAAATAAACAATTTCCGTCTAGCAGTCATTTTTATTGAAAATGACTTAGCTTTTCAATGAATAATTTCCGCGCCAGAAATTTAAGTGCCGTTACACGATAATCACGCCCATCTGGAAGCTGGATTTGAAATCTTTAATTTGTATTTGGACGGGGAATATTCTCCCAAAATCTCAGCTTCCCAGCTTTTCTGGTTCCCGAGTTAGCCATTTTCCCGCCACAAAAGTTTCACGGGGCCGTACGTAAAAAAAGCGCATGCCTGGGGGCTGAATTTGATAACTTTAAGTCGTACATGGGTTGGGAACATCCCCTGAAAATTTCAGCCTCCCAGCTTTGCTAGTTTCCGAGTTGGCCATTTTACCGCCAAAAAGTTTCACGGGACTGTACGCGGGAACCACGCACACCTAGGGCTGAATATGAAACCTTTGAGTTATATGATGACGGGGAAAAATAGCCTCAAAATTTCGGGTTTCTACCGCTTCTCGTTCCCGGGTTATCATTTTTCCCGCCAAAACTTTAATCTCCTCGTACGTGGGGCCCGAACGTGGGCGAGGGTTGGTACCGCGGTTCTGGGATGGCACTTGGCCAGGAAGCTTACTAGCAAAATCCTGGCGCTGAAACTTGCTTGCTAATAGCGATTTGCGAGTTTAATGCAAAAACGCATGATCGCACCGGCAAGCCTTGTGCCTTCCAGCCTGGGGTCCAATATTAGATTCTTTATGTTCGAGGCGTTTTCAGAGTGTTGCACTGCACTTCAACCATATTACGGTTGCTTTTTAGGAGAAGATGCTAAAAGGACTGCGAGAAGCTAGATCATATCAACAACGTTGCTAACCCATGCGAAATGATGCGCATAATGTTGCAACTCCATAATTTTCTGAATCAGTATTGCTGAATCAACTTCGTTTTTTATTGCGCATGACTTAAATTTCCGCACCAGTGGAACCGAACCGTCAATTCCTTGTGTGGTAACCACCTCAACTGCGCCATTCTATCGGCGTTGGTAGTATATTGAAGAAAATAACTTCCAGAAAAGAAGGTTCGCGTTGGATTTGTCAGAGGCATTCCAAATTGATTGATGCGTTGAAACGTAGGTGGTCTCGTGCGGTCATGGGTCTTTTCGTGCTGGCGTGTGGTCTTTTCTTGCGAGCGCTGGGCGGAATGGGGGAGGGAGGGGCAGAGAGGAGTGTTTATAAAATGATGAGGAAATGGTGCTTTTGTTGGAGGGGAAGGGGAGTTGCAAAAACCCGGCTAAGCTCCGCAGCACAATACAATGTCGTTCTTGAGTTCAGACTGAGAAGGCCGCATTACAGAGTTCTTTGTATGGGTGAGGTTTCGATGTCGCGTTCAGGATTACTAACTCCGTCTCATCATGAACCTTCGTAAAACAAAAAATTCAGATAGGTTGCCTTTTTTGAAAAAATGCAAATTTCCAGTTCACTAAA